GCTTGGAAGTCCATGTACAGTCATTACCTACAGTGAAGCACGGTGGTGGCAGCATCATGTGGGGTGTTTTTCAGCAGCAGGGACTGGCAGATTGGTCAGGGTTGAGGGGAAACTGAAAACCTGTTTCACCGAGGTCAGGACCTCAGACTAGACCGAGGGTTTACCTTCCAACATGGCAGTGATCCAAATCCCACAGAGAAGACGGCACAGGAGAGGCTTAGAGACAACTCTGTCCTGACTTGGACCGTTCGGCTCTAGACTTGGTTCTTTTAGAGCATCTCTGGAAAGATTTAAAAATGTTGGTCCACCAACTATCCTCTATCAACTAGACTGAGAGATTTATAGCAAACACTTCTCCTGTTTCCCCATATGGATGTTTAAAAAAAAAGGTCCAAATCTTCCTAAAAGAACATGAGAAACAAACACATCATGTCAACTCAGTGAACCAGGAGGTGTTTAGCACCATGTCACCTCCCTGTTCCCGTGTGTTTTAGGGTCGTTCCCTGGGCTCTGAGCTCTGGTTACAGAGTCCCATGAAGACAACACAACACAGTTACAGTAGTTAGATGGATATTTAACCTGGAAATACATGCTCATGAGATTTAAACTCTCATTTACAAGAGTGTCCTGGCTCAAAGCAGCACAAACATATAACACAAAGTTTGCACAGTATGAGAAACAGAAAAGAACTTAAAAGCTATAAATATAAAAAAAATAAAAATAAAAGTTTTCTCAGTAAATTCATGCAGTTGTCCTCAGATTCAGGAACAGAATTGAAGTGAAACATTTACATCCAGTTGTTTGTATGTTTAAAATATTTCAACTTTTGTTTCAAATTTTTGAGACGAGTTTTTTGTTGAAAAGGAAGACGTCATGAAGGAACACAGTAACCTCTCATATGTTTTTGTAGCATGTTGTTTTACAGATCTGAAGAAAGAAAGACGAGGAAAACTTTGTAAACTTGTCCTGGTTATTCTTTGAATGATTTCCAGACAGAAATGTACTAAAATATGCTAACAACAAACAAAGTTTCGGAGAGACGTTTCTAGAACGGAGCTTGTTGCCTCCGGTCACATCAGCTCTATATTTACAGAGGGAACAATGAAGCTTTCAAAGAAAAGAACACCGTATCTACTGTGATCTACTTGTTTTGGAGCTGCTTCGCTCCATCTGGCACCAGGAGCCTCAGATTTATGCAGGGTACAATGAAGTCTCAAGACTACTAAGGCCTCCTGGAGTGAAACATACAACCCAATGCCAGAAAGTTCCACCTCGGTCGCAGGTCAATGACCCCAAAACATACAGCTAGATCAGGGGTGTCCAAACTACGGCCCGCGGTACCGTTTGTATTGGCCCGCAGAAAATTCTGAAAATATAATTGAATATGGCCCACACAAGAAGCAGTCCATTTATTGCGGAGCCTCTAGCTCCAGCTCTGAGCATCTGATCCGGGTGGGAGAGGGGTTGTTTTAAAGCTCTAGATCTGCGCTACAACCTGGTGGTGGTCCCACCTTCCTGGGACGATCCCCCGCGGAGATATAAGCGGTCAAAGGTCGGCGGGCGAGCTCCGGCGGGTGAAACGGCTGAATTTCAGCACGGGACTGCTGGTGCTGATGCAGGGGAATAAAAGGAAGAAATCAAGTCAGGTGGAGCTGGTCCTGGATGCTGAGCACTGGGTTTTATAGCCGCCTGCCTGCTAAAAACCCCTCGGGCAATATTTCTGCAATAATGCAAAAAATTCAGAAACACACCTGATGGATCTGTTCCAGGCAATGAAAGGAACAGATCTGGGGTCTCATTTATAAAAGATTGCATGGAAACCATACTAAAAGTGAACATACGGCCAAAAGGTGGAAATGGCGTACGCCAAAAAAAAAAAAAAATTCCGATTTATAAAACAGTGCGTACGCACGTTTCTGCACATCTTTCCTTTATAGATCACAGCCGCACGTCAGAGTTTGCGCACGAGGTCCCGCCTCAGGTTCTACCCTCTACACGCCCACACTCAACCATAAACAGTCAATGCAAAGTACCTCATGAATGTTAAGATGTATTTAAATCAGTCAGCTGATCAATGCCAACAAAAGTGATTGGTTCAGACGCTCCGTCGTGCATCTGGAGGATGACAGGTGCTGACTGACAGCTGCTCACATGAACAGATTGTCTGTAATTGACACAGATTTTCCCTCATTTTGCTTTAGAGTAATTTAATGATTTTTATAAAAAATACTCAGCTTCAAATTAATTTTCTCTCAGAGCCTGCAGGACGATAAAAACAATAAAAATAAAATTAAATAAGTCAGATAAAATTAGAA